TTGGGACAACTGAGAGGGCTCCAGATCAAACAAACATCCCTTTTTTCCCCTACCATGCAAACTTTCTCAATAAATTATTCGCCCACTTCGGATCAAAGACTGTTTTTGCAGCCTGTGACCTAAAAAGCAAATAGCATCTCTTAAACATGAAAGCCCTCCTCCCTGCCTAGGTCAGCTTTATTACTCATTCCTTCCCCCTTACAGTTATTCTGTTGTTATTTTCCTCCTCTGCTTGTTAGATTGCTCTGCCAGTCCCAACCTGCCAGAGGAAGATGGGACAGGAGGGATGGTGTGTTCATTTGGGGACCTAAGGTGAGAGAGAAAGACAGAGTAGGGGAGAAGCCAGCACCCTGGGAACCCAGGAAACAGGGCCAGGCCCGGTTGGCAGCTCCCTGGTTGGCTCTTTTGCCAAATGTCCTACTGGGAGTTTTACCAGTGAAAGGAGGGAATTAATGCCACCCTGGAAGGAGGGGTCAGGCAGCCCTACCACCTGGCCCAGGATTCAGTTTGCAAACATCAATGTTAGGCGGCATCCTGACAGCTTGTCTGTGTGCAGAACTCAGGGTTCCTCCTCCTTCCCACGAAGGCAAGGCAGCGGGTCCCACTCAGCCCTTTCCCCTAGCCCCTTTGGCATTGTTCTGGATGCAAACATGCCACATCCCGATGACCCCCTGCAAACTCTGACCCTGGATAAAACTGAGCATCGGAATCCCACAGAATACGGGCCAGGGTGCTAGGGGTAAGGGCGAGGTTTGGAAATCTGCAGAGACCAAGGTCGCCAGTTGCAGTGTGCCCCGGCAGAGTGCAAAGACATCCGGCGCCCTCTCCTCCCCCAGCCCCGAGCACGAGGCCTGCGGCCAAGCTGGTAAGAAAGCGCCCGGGCCGGCGGCAGTGGCTTAGGGGATTGGGAGGGTGGATGCGCGCGCCTCCAGCCTGCCCCTGGAGGCAGTCCGCGGCACCGCAGGCAGGAGGCGCGCCGGCGTGATTCCGACCGCGGGAGCCGGGAGGAGGAGCCGGAGGTGGCTGCGGGGGGCTCCGGCCCAGGCGAAGGAAGGGCAAGAGGTGGTTCGAGCCCGGGGCGGCGTAGGGAGGTGGGTGGGCTTGACGGCCGGGGAGGGAGAGGGGTTTAGGAGATGCGGGGAAGGGGAGCCGAGCCCCTGAGAGGATGGGCAGCTGTGTATAGTAGAGGACAGGGTTAGGGGGCTGGGCCTCTGGAAGCTAGAGGGAAGCCTTCCTGTCTGTCTCGCAGACATCCCCATCCTCTGGCAGAACAGCTACGAATCGCCGAGCTGACCCCTCTCACCCCTTGGCCAGGAGAAGAGGGTGTCTCAGGACCCAAGGATGGGCGGGAAGGGACCGTGGGGAGCCACAAGTCTGCACCCAGGCGGGGAGGAGGCGGGCGGGAGCCGCTCCGCAGGCGCAGGAGAGTGGGTGGGAAGGAGGGAGGGAAGGGAGGAAGGAGGTGAGGCGGGGAAGATGCCACTGCCGGAGGCGGGGCGGGGCCGAGGATCCGGCAGAGGGACTGCAGCAGTGCTTGGTGCGGGCGGGGGCTGCAATGTCATTCCTTTGGGGGGACAGGTGTGTCCGACCCAGGCTAGGTCCGCCACTTGGCGGCATCTTCCCGGTACCACACAAGACGCAGGGGAGGAGGCGGAGATTAGGGGACTGCGGAGTAGTCCCCGGAGCGGGGCGCGAACCGGCAGAGTTGGGAGAAGGTAAACAAGGGCCACGCCCCCTGCCGTCGCCCCGCGGGCGCGCACCCGCGGCTCCGGCCGCCGCCGGTACATTTCCACTCTCCCAGCGCCTCTCCCCGCCGGACTCCCGCGCGGCCCCGGAGGGGGGCCTGCCTCCGATCCCAGCCCGCGCCCATGGCGCCGGGGCTGCGCACCCTCCACACTCACCTGAAAGGGTGTCCCCCGCCCCTCCAAAAAAGCTGCCTAATTTGTGCAGAACCTCGGAGCCCAGGAGCCGAGCATGCTGCCCCCGCGTGCAGCGCCCGCGTGCACCCAGCCCAGAGAGGGGGCGACAGGGCGGAGGCGGTGGCCCCCGGAAGGTGTCTGAGACCGGACCGGCTGCACGTGAGCCCAGCGCGGGGTCATGTGCACCGGCTCAGCCCGGTTCGGAGCCCGGACGTGCTGCGTATGAACAAAATTAAACTCGGGGCGACAGGAGAGCAGATTAGCTCCAGGTCCTCCAAGCCCCCACCCTCGGCCGCTCGACCTCCCCCCGCACCCTTCTGCCGCCGCAGCCCCTCCGCCCCGCTGGAGCCCGCGGGGCAAGTTGCAGCCCCGGCGCGCCCCCGCCCGCCCGCGCCCCCTCGCCTGCCCGGGGG